CGGCTCACCGCAACCTCCGCCTCCTGGGTTCAGGCAATTCTCCTGCCTCAGCCTCCTGAGTAGCTGGGATTACAGGCACGTGCCACCATGCCCAGCTAATTTTTTGTAGTTTTAGTAGAGACGGGGTTTCACCATGTTGACCAGGATGGTCTCGATCTCTTGACCTCATGATCCACCCGCCTCGGCCTCCCAAAGTGCTGGGATTACAGGCGTGAGCCACCGCGCCCGGCTAAATTTTGTTTTTAAGTAGAGACAGAGTTTCACCATATTGGCCAGGCTGCTCTCAAATTCTTGAGCTCAGGTGATCTGCCCCCCTTGGCCTCCCAAAGTGCCAGGATTACAGGTGTGAGGCACCACACCTGACCTATCCTAGCCTTTTTTTTCTATACATATATAGTCATACTGTATAATATATTGTTTTGCATCAATTTTATACTTAACGTTTTATGAATTTTCTATCTCTTCTATAACATTTTGCAGCTATTAGATTTACCATAAATGTTCACATTCTCTCACTTTATACCTGGCTTTCCAACTTAATTTTCCCTATTTTAATAACAGAGGAGGCCGGGCGCGGTGGCTCAAGCCTGTAATCCCAGCACTTTGGGAGGCCGAGGCGGGTGGATCACGAGGTCAAGAGATCGAGACCATCCTGGTCAACATGGTGAAACCCCGTCCCTACTAAAAATACAAAAAATTAGCTGGGCATGGTGGTGCGTGCCTGTAATCCCAGCTACTCAGGAGGCTGAGGCAGGAGAACTGCCTGAACCCAGGAGGCGGAGGTTGCAGTGAGCCGAGATCGCGCCATTGCACTCCAGCCTGGGTAACATGAGTGAAACTCCGTCTCAAAAAAAAAAAAAAAAAAAAAAAACAGAGGAAATAATACATGAATATGTTATACAAAATTTTAATGTACTTCTGATCACTTTATTAAGAATGAAATTTTAAAATGCTTAGACACTTTTTGACTCACAGAGTTGATGGGCAAATGTAAGAAAAATAAATCATCACTTTGCTCTCCATCCTTCCTCACATCCTGAAATTAACTTTAGGGACAGCTAGTTTCATTTAACCTCATCAGTCTTGTTCTCCAGTTCCAGGTCCGGGAATCTAGGTCTAGGTCTTAGTTTCCAAAAGAAACTTACTTTTGTGTAAGCACATCTGTTATATGCTAGGCACTTTACCTAATTTATCTGCTTTAAGCTTCACATGCCCGAGAGAGTATCATTGTCTTCATTTCACAGATAAGAAGGTTGAGGAGACTAACCTTCCCAGTCACGTTCAGGGTAGGGATTCAAACTCACATCCAATGCCTCCTCAAACCTCTTTTCGGTGCACCACTATCCTATAGCTCCACTGCTCACATATAGGCCTAGGCTGTATCACCATTGTCCACTCTTGAGCCGGGCAGGAAAATTAGCCGAGGGGGTTTTGTTTTTGTTTTTTTCAGAAAGGAACAAGATATTTTATTATCTCTCTTTCTTTCTTTTTTTTTTTTTTGAGACAAAGTCTCGCTCTGTTGCCCAGGCTGGAGTGCAATGGCGCAATCTTGGCTCACTGCAACCTCCGACTCAGCCGGGTTCAAGCAATTCTCCTGCCTCAGCCTCCCGAGTAGCTGAGATTACAGGCATGCGCCACCACACTCGGCCCAAAGACGGGGGTTTCACCATGTTGGCCAGGCTGGTCTCGAACTCCTGACCTCAGGTAATCTGCCCACCTCGGCCTCCCAAAGTGCTGGGATTACAGG